GCTTGTAATATTGATCAAGCCAAGCAAATTGCATTTAGCCGGAATGGTGAGTGTCTCTCTACCTTATATTTTAATAATTATTCAGATCTATTATGGAAATGTGTTAAAGGACATATATGATATGCAACGCTTAATGCTGTTAAAGATCGAAATACCTGGTGTCCATTCTGCCTTAAATATAAAAGAGAAAAGTTATGTCGTGAAATTTTAACAGAATATCTTGGATCTCCTTCACTAACCCGCAGGCCTGAATTCTTAAAAACACCAGAACATTCCATAGGTTTAGAACTTGATATATTTTATCCTGAATATGATTTTGCAATTGAAGTACAAGGAGTGCAACATGAAAAATATATCGAATTCTTTCATAATGGCGATCCCAATAATTTTATTAAACAGCAAGAGCGAGATCAACTCAAGAAAGAATTGTGCGAAGAAAACTGGATTGCTTTAAGGTATGTCTGGTATTATGAAGATCCATATATAGTTATTCCTGAACATCTTCGAGAATCGGGTATTATTAAGTAAACTTAAGACTTTAAATACTTCTACGTTTTACTAATCAGGTAATTATTTTTTTCAGTAAGTATATATTCCGCAAAAATAATTCAGTTTCCAGTTATTTACAGTATTTATATACTAAGAATTAACAAGTAGTAAGCTCAATATTCAAAATATTACTAACATCAAGATTACTTAATGCAAAAAAAACATTCTCTCTACTTTAATTTTATAACAAAAAAAGCTAAGATAGAAAAATAAACGATGATTATATCAATCAAAAACATGTAGTCGTTCACAAACATCAAAAGTATTGGCCCTGCGAAATTCCACCCAATATACCCGTCCAACAATAGGATCAAGTCGTCCTGTCACATTGTTATGATAGTTTTCATATAATCGTGCAATAGCATGTTCCATTGTTTGCATATTATTAAATGCGAATACAGAATTTGATTGTGCCAAGTCTGCCCTTGGAAATGCGATAGGAGTATAGTTTGGAGTTCCTCTGATCACTAACCCAAAAAATAGTTAGAAAACTTTTTTAATAGATTATATAATATTTATGTTATACCTGCGCTAACATCATTTTCCGTGATATTTCGGACTGCGAGACCCGGTGGAGTGATAGTTCGGCTTGCGAGACCCGGTTGATTATATTCGATGATTAATAATGGGTCGTTACAAAAAATTTCATCGTCATCATCCCTATGTTTATTTTGAATGATATCACGCCATAAAGCGACTTGTTTTTTTGTTTCTTCAGAAAACCCCGCTGGAAATTTCATTTCTCTATTGAAATAGTTTTCTCTGTAAAAAAAATTTGTGAGTATCGGCTTTTTATCGATTTGAAAAAAAAATGACAAAATATGTAAGTATCACTAAGAGTATGATTAACCAAATTGGGCTAAGTAAGATTCCCCAAAAGAAATAAGTAAAAAGAGAAGCCAATAATAAAATAACCAAAAGGGGTGAACAGCAACAGAGAAGCACATAATAGCCGATTTTTGTCATTTTGGATAAGTATGACCAAATAGACCGAATGTGAAAAATCAAAAATTGAGAGGAAGAAATATCGAATGAAATGTTAGAGCAGATCTAATGACGAAACGTAATACAGTTGCAGTGATTAATTAAATGTGATTAATAAGCGCAGTTGATCGTCAGTCCACATCACAAAAAAATGGCAGGCAAATAATTGAGATACACTTATTTTCCATACAATTATATATGAAAAAAAGCTCATCGTGGCTACATCGCACCTACATCGCACCTACATCGCACCTTCATCGTATCTTCATTACAGCTATATTATAAGGGGTGTAATACATAGAGCAAAGTTAGCTGGAATTAGCATTACGTCCGAAACTATATAAAGAGAGGTAGATTCGATCAACAGAAAAAATTATTTAATATAAATAACCAATTAACGTGTACCGCCGAAAATTAGGTTCCACGAATAACATGCGCTGTAAATCATTAACAAGTCTAATATACCACAGAATAAATTAGAAGGTCATGGAACTTCTCCATGCATCGCTCCAGTTCCACATTCCCTAAATCTACTATTCCCATACCTAAATGAGGCAGAAATGGGTGGGTGGAAACGTTTTAAAAGGACAGTATATCTACGTTATGGTTATTCGTCCTTTATTTGTGATAAAAACTAATATCTACCGTTCCGAAAAATGTCTGAAAATTACTTTTACCTCAATCGCAATCAACCAAACCGTGTATTATATTTCAAAGAATGGCTCCCCAGTATTTATCTACCAAGTGTTAAAATTTTGAGAAGAAACAACGTTAATGTTGCAGAATCCCAATATCGCCGAGAGGTTCAGGATGCTATAATCACTTGTGGTGAGGTCCATCCAAATAGTAAACGAAAGCTAGAAACAATCTTATCTCAGTTTAACTCCATGTCTAAGGTATGTATTATAAAAAATATTGGATCTCTTTTAAAAATGATGATATGTTTTTGCAGAAGAGTGGTGGATATAACAACATAGGCCTATGTTGCTGTCTGTATCTGGGTGTACGTGATATTGTTTTAGCGTATGTCTTAGCTTGCAGAGTGCTGGCACTGTAAGCATCAAAGGGTGCAGTTCAGGAGATTCGTCGTTCCGGTGTGTTTCCTCACATTAGGTTCGGTACGAGCTATGCCTTGTGTACCTCGTCGCTGGCCGTGGGCATGGATCTTATAATTATTATGAAAAATGAATGACCTCACAATAACTGATTTTATGAGACATATTTATATAAATATCTTGTCTCAAGAATGTTAGATTAAATTATATTTCTTTCTGATTCTAGGAGCAACGTCGGACATTTTATAAGGAGGTTTGGGCCAAAGAAAAGGAGAAGGTGAACATATTTATATTTGTGTTTTATACTGAATGATTTAAACGCATTTTTTTCTCATAACTTTTTACTATACAGCGTCAAACTCTAGAACAAGAACGTAATGTCGATATAATTCAAGAAAATACCGAATTTATATTAGGCAGATGTGTAAGTAAAAACCTGGTTTCTGATTTATTTACGGTATTTGATGTTGATGTGATAATTATTATCTTCAGAGAGCTAAGATAGAAAATGGTTGCTCAGATACTATCATGCTTGCATATACCGAAGTTGTCCGCCATTTGGAACGGTTGGATTTGGCATCGATTAAACCAGAAGTTCCTCTAGCATCCGGCGTTATTGATCTCGGGTAGTGAAGATCCATTTACAAATTTATTATCATTGAGGACAAAGCAGATTTTGACGCATCATACATTCCATAACGATGTTTTCCCCGGAGAAATAAATATGATGATGGATGATTTCGTAAGCACGTATAGAGATTTGGGACCCGATTTCGATCCAGTATTCATGAGACCAATCGCTTTCCCACATGGGGAGATGACCGTTGAAACCAGACGTATACTGATGACGGTTTTTGACTTATTAGAAGGATTGTAAGTTATTAGTGTGTAATTCTATTCATGCTTACTTTATTAAGAGTATTTATTTTCCAGGCGTCACATCTGGAGTTGCAGACCGTTGTTGACAGAAGATGAATATAGTGAGAATGCTTATGTAATTCATGCTGTATCGAAGGTTCTAGACCCAATCCTCAAATATTCAAAATGGCCAATCAAGCGTGCATGGTAACGTATCTATATAACTATATATGACGTATTAACTATTCTAACTATATATATTTCAACATATATAGGTCTGAGCAGACGAGTAAATCATCACAATCTAGGATGGAACGGATGGAAGCTACGAATTCAGGGAAGAAGCCGGATCTGCAGGTTTTGCTAAAGCTTGATATGGTGGAAAGTGAACTCGTACTTGCCGAAGTTTCACGATTACTCCCTCAACAAGACAAAGAAATTATAGACTGGAAGAAATTGGTACGTATTTGCAAAGATTGTTTTGATGAGCGATATAATTTTTTCTTTGATGGAAGGGATGATACCACCGATATGGCTAGATCGTTAAATATCAAGCTAGGGAGAGTTCCTGTTTTAGGTATCCAAGTAATACGAGATCGTGTGACTGTTTCTGCGTTAGACTTATTTGAAGACGATTTTTATCGGGTTTTTCGAATCTGTGAGTTGGTTATACCATTACGTATTTCCTCTCGCCAGATCGTTGAAGATTTTTTAAAGAACGCTCTTGAATTGAGATCCGTGGTTGAAAAAATTATCGCAATGGCGGTGGGTGTGAAAGATGAAATTAATCTTTTACCAGTAATCGAAGATCGGACCCCGTCAACATCAATGATGTCGACCACATATTCTCCACCAAAAAGTTATTAGATGATTCAGATAAAAAACACAAATTTACTTGAGTATCATATTTCTGTCTTGTATTTTATTTCTCATATATCAATAAAGCTGGGCCGGTGGTTGAATTATCATATATTTATATACTTTGTTACGCACATGATGTTCCACGAACTTCTATGTCGACCCCGATGTTGTGTGATTGGTTAATAATTTTCCGGGTTTTTAATTATTCTGATTGGATCCCAAAACAAAATGTTTGTGAACGGCGCGCATTTCCAGCCAACCAATTATCATCGTATATATACCCCTTTTACCGATTATCAACGATTACTTACATTCCCACGTTTTTTTTTCGCGAAAGTATACGCTATTCGTCTTGAGTAGGACATCGGCTCTAGGAATAAAAAACCTAACGGCTCGTCGAATTGCGTTGCTTTTGTCTTTTTTTCAATTAGTAATACACCGGTATGTCGCAAGAGAAATCAT